TTGAGAACTCTGTGACGTCCGTGACAGTCGTTCGAGTTGGTGCCGGAGGGGCTAAGAAATTGTAAATAAATAGAATTTTTGTCAATTTTGACCGATAAAACGGGAGAGAATGTTAAGAACAGAAATGTATTTCTGTTTTGAATTAGCTAAACAATCTATTCGGCTTATTTTAGAACGGCAAGAACTCGAGTGAATTGACTTTAGACTCATCAACAGTTCTTATTGGTCTGGCCCATCTCAGATAATTCATATAGAACAGAAGTATGTCCTTCTTAGAAGTGTATGCGCTTCTGTGCAATTCACAAATTTACGTGTCTCAAATTGTTTTGCATAGAAGATGCTTAGTCCTAAGAGAGTGCTCATCATAGTATAACATTATACTTTTGCTGAATGAAAGATCCTAAACCTAGCCGACTTTTAAAATTCTAATTTTCAAGGGCTCATGTGAAATTAAGGCTATTTAGCAGATTCACAGTGATAAAAAAACATGAATCTTATTAGGATAAAAATGGCTGTTGAGCTCACTTCCCTTTCGAGGGAAAATGTTTGATAAAGAGATTCGAAGTTTAATCCATCTAGAAGACTAAGGGATATTCCTCTTGACAAGCTTTCGATTGGCTTTGTTGAAACATTCTTGCCGACGCCACGTATCGTCTTTCCAACCATATACAAGCTAACGAATAAGGAAAATTTATGGGTCTATTCTGAAATGCTTTATATATACCCTATATATAAGTTCCTTGACGAGGTATAAAATGATTTAGTCAGTTCAAGTCGGATATTAACTTCGAAACATGTGATTGTGTCTATCTGTGCGTGCATATGTGCATTTCTGTGTTCGTATGAGTACGAAGCCAGAAGTGATGTTTAAAAGTAATTAGCGCAGAATGTAACGTCTGTTCTCAACATTCAGCTCAATAGTTATAAGTCAAAGATTCCTCTAAACTCAACTTTCCTTCACAAACCAAAAGCTTATTTTATGTATCTTAATAATACACTTATACAATGATCAGAGGCCATAATGTAGAGGCAACTTTGACGCCTCTTCAAAGGAACCGATAAAGTAATAAGTGCTATATCCTGCCTGGCCTAGCTGCATTAGTCACCTGTTTGCGCGATACTGGCCGTGATCAGTCCATTAACGGAACCAGACGGCAGACTATAGACTCCCTTGGCGTAGGTGTAGGCCGTTGCTGTATATGTCTGAGCCGGAATCCAGTAGGCATCAGCACCTGGAACAAATGTTTCAATATAAAAGCAGACAGGCTATGTCTTGAAGATAAAAAACTATTTTAATACATGACAATACATGAGATTGAATCGTGTCCAAATGATAAATTATTTGCTAGTGGCCTGATTGCTTTAAAACTTTCCAGCCATTAGCAGAGATCAATGTTTCTAGTAGAAAAGAGCTGTTTTAGTCAAAGCAACACAGTCCACAGCTCGAACTTTTGGGCTGCAACCTAGGAGGATGCATGCTTGTTTCACTAGACTCAATCCCACATTTGGGCTCACTTATATTTCTATTGAAATTGTATGATGAAGGGCTTTCAAATTCGATTTCTTGACGGAGGGCAGTTGCGAATTCCTCTTTTAACTTGAATGAAACATTCTTGTTTCAGCTCCCCTGAGACAATCTCTTTCGATTCTAGTGAAAACGTGCTAAGCTTTATTTTGCCATATGACGGACGTCATCAGATGAGGGCAAAATAATTAAGCAGAATCAAGAAAACTCATTAGTCAATAACTAAATGTAGCATTTTTATGAGTCCGTGTGTAAATTGGTTAGTTTATATCATATCGAAACCCTGTAGAACAGAGGGTTATTTGAATGAAATTATTTTGCCACTAAATGGGCGAAAATAAGACTTCCATGAGAAAATATACCTTTAGAACGACACTGTAACTAAACTACAAGAATGTAAATATCACTATTTGGACTTGGCTGAAATGGAATAGCCACCCATTATGGAAATGAAACCTTGTCAATGCAATATAAAATTTCAACATTTTACTATTTCCTTCACTTCCACGTTACTAGCGGGTCACAGGGTAGTGTGGGAAGACTAGACTATTATCACTTTATGCAAAATAGGATAATACAACTCTTTTTTCAAAGATCTACTGGTAGTTTATAATTATACTTAATCTTAATACAACTAATGGAAGCTATTGCAATAGCAAATACAAATTTGCTTCATCAACGATGACAGTACAATTTTATCGTCGCGATGTGGCCTAGTGGCAGCATAATAAATTATAATTTACACCACCCTGGGTATAATGAGACCCAGACAAGTTCGGAACTACAGTTCATCCTGGTTGAGAATACCTTTCGAGAATCAAGACTCAATGAAATTCATAGAC